ACATGCAATGACCAATGCCAAAACAAGCTAAGTCAAAGGGGTAAACTCATGAGACATGCAAGGCCACCAAAGAGGTGTTACACTACACCTAAGACAACCGAACATGGCATGAATTAAGCAACCAAAATCAGAGCTATGACATGCTAAAATGAGCCCAAAAACCCACTTAGATGGCATCCCAAATGCCTAGACATGATGGCATACGCAATGTCATGTTTATGAGGCAAAAAACACAAACCCTTTAAAGCGTTAAAGGAGCGATAAATGCAAGTATTCAAGCATGCTATATGGACTGAAATGACATTATAAGTGATGCCAAACCACTGAAATTATCCAAATAGAGCATGCTAGTGAGTCAAGCACCCGAAGCCAACAAGCTAGAATACATGGTAGCTACACAAAACAATGCAAGCATGACCAAGAAGACCAAAATCAGACCTAAAGCATGTCACAACATGGCAAAAAGCTTCATGTAGTTAGGCCAAAACATGCAAGCATAATAGTCTAAATGCTAGGCACATGTTAAGGCAAATTATGGGATTACAAGACAAGTATACAAAGCATGCATAGTATGTCTAAACCAAGTCAAAAAAGTTCTATATCATGGCAAAACAAAGCCTAGTATACACTGAAATGAAGCTAAAACTAGCTAGGCATACAAGCCATTTACACAAGCCAGTTATGCAAGCATTAAAGACAACAAGGAGAGGGGATGACCCTCTCCAATTTTGGACCTCAAAACCACCTCTCCACCACTGAAAATCCTTTGGATTTCAGTGGTAGAGAGGTCATGCAAAGACCAAAACAATGGCCAAAAGGTATGGCCTAAAACAAGGCCTAACAAGGCCTTAGAGGGGGGAGACAACCCCAAACCTCAAAGTAACCTTAAACAAAGTTCTAAAACACACAAAATCAGAAATTTTATTAGTCATAGTCGAAGCTTAAAACAATAAGCAAGAAGCGCTAAAAGCCAAAGCCAAAATGGGGTATATAAAGTAAAGATGCTCACCCTTGTAGACCCTCTTCAAGAACAATGCTCCAGCAGGTTTTTTGAGTTCAAAGCAACCCAAGAACACCAAAATCAATCTCCAAGGACCTCAGCTACCAAGGATGGTGTATTACTAGGTGTTCTAGTGCAAAAGTATGAACAAAACAACCTTATACACACACAAATATGTAAAGAGATGGAGATATAGAGATAGATAGATACAACTCTCTCTAACCCTAATTTCAGAACCTCTGGAACCCTTGAGGAGGGAGAAAAAGCTCCCTCTTTATAGAATTCCAAAATTGCAAAGCTTACAAAGCAAGCTAAACCAAGAGGCAAATCCCTCCATACACTGGAGGGGGTCAATTGTGGATGCCAGCTATTACAGCTGGCATAAAATATCTGCCAAAAGCAGATAGAAAGGGGTCAACTAGCAGAAATGGCCGATTGATCAACAAAGGTGGTCGACCGACCACAAAAAGTGCCGACCGGCCATAACCTTTGGCCGATGGCAAGAAAACAGGGCCGGTGGCCTCAAGCCATGGCCGGTGAGGTGTGGAGATGGCCAACAAGCCATTCCCTGCCCTCAGAAGGAAAAAAAAAACAAGTGTTTGGTCCATAACCAAGCACAAAATAAACAAGTCGAGAGGTCTTGAGGCAAGGCACGTGGCAGAAACCTCCGAGAACTCGAGACGAACACGAACATGGATAATCATTGAGTGTTCAAACGATGACGTCCAATTCTTGAGGACGGTCAAAAATGGGGTGTCTAGAAATATGACCACTCCTCCCTCTTTATCATGGAATGAACTCAAAAAAAGAAAACAAAGACGCTTTGAGGATCATCAAAACGCCATGAATTAGCCTATGACCACTCTTGACTCGATAAACTTGGCATAACATCTGGCCAAACCCAAGCAATATGACTCATTTCTTTCTATGTGTTGGTTGCTTTTAAACCAATTCTCTTAGTCATTCCCATTCTTTAGTCCATTTGTCCGAAGTGATGATTAAGTCCTCTAAAAGGAGAGAAGCGTCAAACGGGAAGTAATTCTCAACATGAAAGAGAGATTATGCCATTGACAATGAATCTCCATAGAGATTAAGCCATTAAGCATAAATCTCTAGTTCATGTATTGAATAACCATCAACCGATTGAAACAACTTTCAAATGAAAGAAAGGAATAGCAAGTTGATTCTTAAAATGAGGTCATTAACATGAAAGTTAGACAAAGAAAGGCTAAGAACAACATAATACAAGCTATGTACAAAGACCAATGCTACAACAAAGGAACTAATCAAAGCTTGAATCAATTAAATGGATTAGGACAGCCCTAAAATAGTCTCTAATAAGCCGAAATAGTGGCAGAAAATGCAAGAAAAGAACTTAAAAAGCTAAACAAAAAGTAAAGACAATAAAGCTATGTAAGCAAAAACAAGGAGAGGTGGTCAACCCCTCCAATTTCAAGACTTCAAACCATGTTTTTTGGCCTTAGTTCAACTTTGAAAATCAATTCAAAAATCAAAGGAAAAGAGTGTAAAGGAACCAAGGGTTGAGCTATGAAGATAGGTGCAAGTAAGGGTGTTGACCTTACCACCTTTGGTAGCTTATCCAAACCCAAGTTCTAACACTTAAAATGGATGCAAAACAGCCCAAGAATATAAGAAATAGATAGAAATGAAGTAAGCAAAAGCAAGAACAAAAACAAGAGTTGCAAGCTTATATCTCTCGAAATGGAGTAAGCTTTGGTTGATGATCAAACTCACTCTTGACATACTCTCAAACTTGAATTATGCTTCTTGAGGGTCAACCAAGGCTTCAAGATGATAAGTCAAGGTTGTGTATGTTGTACATAGATGATACAAGGAAGGTAGGTTAGCTCAAAGATAGCTTGCAATGGAAAAATGATGAAGAATGAGCTCTCTCTATGTGTATAAGCCTTTTGTCAATTGTTCAACCCTCAAAACAGAGGTATATGGTTGTATTTATAGAATTTGAGCAAGAAATATGATTAATATCTTCAAAAATGGACAGCTGGTGGCCTCCCACCCAAAATAGTGTTTCTCGCTACCAAGGCCCGGCCAACCCTCAATAGCCACAGCTGGCGCTCAATGAGGTACAACCGGGCCTCAATGAATTCCCCCGTTTTCTGTTTCAACGTTAACACAAGGTGACACAAGGTGTAAAAATGAATTTCTTGGGTATGATCAGTGGGAATATGGAAGGTTTGGGGTTGTTTCGAAGCTTAAACAAGGCTCCTTCATTGAGACCTAGAACCACGCACAATACCACTTTTAAGAACTCGAGCCTTGCGGATGGTCAAAAATGGAGTGTTCACAGTTGACCCTCTTTGACACAGCTCAAAGTCATAAAGTGACATGAGTGAATGTCAAAGCCCAGACACAACCCATTTGACAAGGCCGTAAGGCTCAGGGAAGAAATCAAGACATAAATGCAAAGATTGAACTCGAGGGCAAAGCGCAAACGAAATACAACAAATAACTTATGATCATGCAATGAAACATACGCTACAATCTAAACAAACAAGAATGCAACGTTTGAATGACAAATGCAAAACAAAGCAAAATAAACCTCGCCATGTGTCACGAGAAAAGAAGTGAATAAACAGGCACGCCTCACGCGAAAAGCACAAAGAAAGCACAAATCAACCTACGTCTCACGTAGAAAGGATATAAGAAAATACAGACCTAACTACGCCTCACGTCAGAAAGGGGAAGGGCAACGTAACCATCGAGCGCACTCGAGGTCTCAACCGAGATTCTAACGTATCTCACGTGATAGGAGGAAGGGTGGTGTAAGCAAATAGGCACACCTGATGTTTTTAACTAAGGTAAACAATCCCCACGTGTCACACACGAGAGGAGGAAACGTGGTGTGAATAACGGGCGCACCGGCTATTTTTAACAGAGGATACAATCCTAACGCGTCACACACGAGAGAAGGAAAGGTGGTGTGAACATCGGGACATGCCCAATGTTTTTAATCGAGGGTACAATCCTAACACGTCACACACAAGAGGAGGAAAGGTGGTGTGAACACCGGACGCACCCGATGTTTTTAACTAAAGGTACAATCCTAACACGTTGCACGCGAGAAGAGGAAAGATGGTGTGAACAAACAGGCGCACCTGGTGTTTTTAACCAGGGGTACAATCCTAACGCGTCACACGCGAGAAGAGGAAAGGTGGTGTGAACACTGGGCTCACCGGATTGTTTTAACCGAAGGTACAATCCTAACGCGTTGCACGCGAGTGGAGGCAAGATGGTGTAAACAAACAGGCACACCTGCTATTTTTAACCAGGGGCACAATCCTAACGCATCACACGCGAGAGGAGGAAAGGTGGTGTGAACACCGGGCACACCCGATGTTTTTAATCGAGGTACAATCCTAACACGTCACACGCGAGAGGAGGAAAGGTAAGATAGATAAAAGAACAAACAAATCACATAAGTAAAATCAAAACAATCAAAGCGGTGTAATAAAGTGGAAGCCAATTTTCCTACGTGTTAAAATAATGAACACAGTGCACCGTGTTTCAATTTGGTTGTAAAATGGATGATGATTTTACTATGGCACGAATGATTTTATCTGGAACTCCTCTAAATGAACCGCACATTCAATATCGTTTGGTTACAACAGAGCATAACAACATAATGAACTATGATTCAGACAAAGCAAATTATAAACTACTCAGAATAGTTTAAACAAATTAAAAGTTTTGAACAACTGAGTTTAAACAAACAAGCTTAAACAAATTAAATCAAGAATCAAACAAATGCGTTCACAATAAAATAAAATAAAAACAAACAAAAAACCTATCTTTTCTCCACTCTCTTTACATTTTCTTTTCTCTTTTGTTTCTAATTCTCTTTTTTTACTCCTTTTTTAGTTTTCTTCTCTTTTTTAGCTCTCTGCTTCTTTCTTTTTCTTTTTCTTCTTGTTCTCCTCTTTATTTTTTATTTTTGGTTTTCTCTTTTCTTTTTCAACTCTCTTACTTTTTGGTTTTTCTTCTTATTCTTTCTTTTTTTCTTTCACTGTCTTTTTTGAACTCTCTTATTTTTCAACTCCATAATACAAGAAACAAAATAACGCAAAGAACAACAAAAACTGGACTGGGTTGACACTAAGAGCCGGTCAATCCTTAATGAAGCATAGTCAGGTATAAAGGCAGCCGACTGGGCTTTGATAGTGGCAGGGGTAGTTTTGGCCTTTCCTCGTGATTTGTTTGTTTAAAACAAACCCAAAACCTATTTCCTCACACCCTTTCATCCGAAATCCCTTCCTCTCTCTCTCTCTCTCTCTCTCTCTAGATTTCCTCTTTTCCTTGCGATACCCAACAAACCTCACCATTTTTTCTTCAAAACCCTTTCCTTCCTCTACATTTTGAACCAATTGGATTTTGATTTGGTCAAGATTTTGGGTTTCTCATTGTTTTTGCCTTGTTTCTCATGGGTTTTCTTGGTTTTTGGGGGGCTCACTCTCGTGTTTTTACTTTCCTCTCCCATTTTCTCTCTCCTGGGGTTTAGCCCCTTACATTTTTCTTGCTTTCTTTTAACTTCCCCCACTCGTCTCCATGGCTAGTGACGAAGTTCCCATTCCAAACCCCACCATTGGTATTGGGGCTACCCTAGGCGCAGACATGGAGGCTGAAGATGCTCCTGCGTTGCCTCCGCTGGTTGATAGGCCATTTGATGCGGCCACATGCCAACCACGCACACATACTCCACCCCCAGGTGGCATTTTGAGATTCGAGGGCCTCATCTCCAAGATAGACGAGGATATCTTGCTACGAGAGCCCACGGAGCACTTGTCTTTCGATGCCTCTACGGTAAGCAACTTTCCATTGTTTGGATGCATTGTTGGAGCTCACAAGTAGACCACAAGTTAAATGCCATATATTTCTCATTTGTAGGTGATAGCCAGGAGGATTAGCGGATACAGATCCATATCTGTGCCTCGGCGCTAATATGAGAGACTGCCTGCGGAGGTCCACGCACTAGTTGACGCAGCCAACTTTGGGCCTCTCTGCTTAGGGATTATACAGATGAGGGCCGAGTCGTTGTTGTATGGGGCCCTGGTCGAGAGATGGTAGGACACCACAGACTCATTCCACTTCTCATCGATCGGGGAGCTGACTCTAACCTCATACGATTTTTCGATGCTCACTGGCCTGTGGGTCGGGGTTGGCGGTTCGATCCCATGTGATTCTGACATGACACAGTGGAGAGCCTCATAGCATCAGCTTCTTGGAGCGATCTTAGACACTACCAGCCACAAGATGGTGAGGTACAGCTGGTTCTTCGAGTACTTCTCCGACTTTCAGCCTACCACTCCAGATAAGGTCGCCCAGTACAGCCGCGGCTTCCTTATGTATCTCCTTGGTACTACCTTGTTTGCGAATAGGGAAAATGCCATGGGGTTATATCTTCTGGGGGCACTGGTGCACCCCCCCCCCCCAGGTGGCACAGTATGATTGGGGTGGCGCCGGCTTGGCCACCTTAAATTGCTACATGAGCTCCATCTCCCGCCGCAAGGCGGATTCATTCAGCGGCTATTGGAGGGTTTGAGAGGTATGCCTCGCACTTATCTTTTCTACGCATTCTGTTCATTTTGTCTTTTATACTCATTTGCATTTCATTTTCTGCTCATTTACTTCATCTATCTTTTTTCGTTTACAGCTCTAGGTTTATACCTACTTCACCTCTTTGACTCCAGTCCTGGTGAGGCCGATCGAGTTGTCAGTACCCCGCTCACGGTACTACAACTCCCGATTTAAGCATCGTCGCCGTGTAGACTAAAACTTCCCTTACTTTTGTAAGCAAACTGCACTGTTTCCCACACACTACACGGTCATTCTCATACTGCACTGATTTTTGACACTGCACTGATTTCTGACACTGCACTAATTTCTCACACTGCACTGATTTCTCGCGTCTACCTTCACAGGTTGACTGGCATCCCTGGGCGGGCATTTCCCAGGTGTCGATGATGACTTATGTTGTGGCATGGCATGCCTCTACCATGCAGATTCTATTTGAGGGCCCCTTTGGCCCGACGTACTACCTAGGGAAGAGGTTCATCCACCAGGCGTGGGGTGTCGCTGATCCCGACATTCCACATCCACCTCCTCCAATCATGAGAGTAGTTGATGAGCTACAGGACGGTCCTCAGATCGACCTCCTAATGTTAGGTGAGGATGGTGATCATCATCATGAGCCTGGCAACTTCACTACCTTCTTACACACTCAGGTGATGACGCCTCTTACCTCGGGCATGGCTCAAGCTGTGCCGAAGGTTGCTGCTACTGCTGTTGTGACTAGTGATGCGCCTACTGGAGGTGCCCTGCCGCTGCACCCATTCCTGGATTTCTTGTGATCCCCACTAAGATCATGTACATGCATCCAGATAGAGTGATCGAGCAGATCCCGCTTGAGCGCATCGAGAAGAGGGACCGCAGGCTAGCGTTCGCTCCTGGCATCGAGCAGGTATACATTTCTTCATGCTAGTCCATACTGCACTTTATCTTATTTTGTTTTTTTCCATTTCTGTTCATTGTTCTCTGTTACTTCAGTTCTTTTCTCAAATTCTGTTCCTTTTGCAGATACCACGGGTGTATGCTGATAACCTCCATCATACGATCGACATACTACTCCTCATGGTACAGAGGAGGCTGATCGCCTTAGTCACTCATGGGATTGAGGTACACTCTATTTGTAGTTCACTATTGTTGCCATACTATTTATACTCCTGTTAGTCCATATTGATACCTGTCCTCTTTTCAGCTTGAGTCGGCACCAACAGTGCCTGCAGAACCTCCTGCAGCCAGTAGACGGAGACGGGGCCCAGTGAGGGGCCGAGGGGGAGTTGATCGAGGGAGGCAGTGCTCACTTTTTGAGGAGTCTTTTGCCAGGTCTATGACCCCCAAGGACGAGGGAGAGGAGGTTGACTTGTAGTCCAGCAGCTCCAGCGACGACAGTGATGCACCTCCTCCGCAGCCAAGGAGGAAGAGGGCGAGGATGGGCTATTGACGAGGGCTACAATTTTATTTTTGTTTTTGTTTTTGATTTCATTTTTGTTTTTGTTTTTGTTTTTGTTTTTGTTTTTGTTTTTGTTTTTGTTTTTGTTTTTGTTTTGTTTTTGTTTTTGTTTTTGTTTTTCTTTTTCTTTTTGCTTTGTTTTTAAAAACTAGCTTCAGATAGACCCTTTTGTTTAATTTGAAAGATTTTCTTTTGTTTTATTGCTCTGTAAAACAATGATCAGGGTTGGACCCATTAGTTATAAAAGACAAGTTTTTGTTGAATGATTTCCTTGCACAATGTGATGAATGGTATTTGCATGTGATGAATGGCGTAACCCTTACTTGGTAACTTCACATAAGACTTGCTCTTGCATTCATCTTTGAATCGAATAACTACCCACAACCGAACAAAATGTGAACAACTCGATAACAAGAAAACAAAATAAAAACAACTAGAAAATACCAAAAAAAACACTAGGTACAAACAAAACAAGACTCAAAATACAACTGTGGTACGTTAAGGCAAAGGTTGGCATTTCCTGTAACTGCACTGATTCTGAAACATCATTTAGACCCCGTCGGGCCTAAATATGCACGGCCGGGCTTCACTAAGGTATGGTCGGGCCTCAATGTGAGGTCAGTCAGTGCTCTCCAGCTGTCATGCACTACTCCTTCTCACCCCCTATAAATAATGCTCCCATGCTGTTTTTCTGGTAGAATAACAAGTCTTTGATGTTTTGCTCTCAAAATGGAGACATTGTGCAACAATTGGCTCCGAGACTGGATAGCCACTTTGGACGGCTCGAAATATGTGAATTTTCATAGTTTTGGCCTAAATGCCCTTTTTCCTCTGAGTTGCACTTCTCTTTGTTTTCTATTCCTTCATGCCGCTGTTCGATGTTGGAACCCAATCACACATGTGTTTCAATTTGGCTCATAAGAGATGTGTCCGACACTCGAGGAATTTCAAGCCTTGATGGAGTCCCAACGTGACAAATAAATCATACCTCAACCCCGTCTTGGCCATGCCCAACCTTTGGGACAGATATGTGGGTTGTCATTACATGAGGCTTAGTCTTTGGCACATGATGGGGAGCTAGACACCCCCGGTTTAGTTCATCGATTTTCCACCATTAGAGACAGGAGTGACCTTCTTTGGCGAGGCCGCCGGCAACATGCTCTCTGTTTGTGCCTTCCTGCACAGTTCCTCCTTGCCCCTAGTTTTGGCGGAGCTAGCATCCGGTTGATCGAAGTAGCTCAACGTCTGAAAGAGGGTAAGAGTTGCATGAGTTTGGTATTGGATGAAACCTTGATGGGTTTAGATACTTTCCGCCGAGGAGAGACCACCCGATTGGCAGGGAGTCTACTACTCATCCAGGTATTATTTTTCACCCTTCTAATTTATGATTCTTACATCGCTCAACACTCATTCTCTGTTTTTCTTTCATAACCTCTTCCTCACTTTTCTCTCATCGTACACCTCTCTATTCTTTAATCTCTCTTATTTTTTTCATCCCTCCTCCAGGTATGGCTTATGGATCAACTGCAAGTAGTGGGCCCTTGCCCTGAGTACTCGGCCCGAGCTTACTTCTTTCGCCAACGGCTAGTGGATTTTCCCTCGGAGGGTTTACAGTGTGACTGGTTGTGCAGTCGATCCACAATGGACATAACATGGCGTTGCCCCTGGCTTAATTTGGCAGAGATGAGCCACAGCATGTCCCGACAGTTGGATGTAGAGTTGATTGGCCTCACACATTGTGTATTATATTTTCCTCTCCGGTTCCGAAGCCAATTCGGACATGATCAGATACGACCAGATGATGGAGTGGAATACACTGCTTCATTTCCAGTTCACGCCTCACCTCTGCCCCAGTATCTTACAGCCTAGAGGACAAGAGAGATTCTGGCCCCTACCATTAGTTTCAGTTACACCTTGTCTGGGGAGTGTTTAGCTTTGCTTGAAGAGGAGGCAGAGGTTAGGCCGTCTTTGGCATAGGGCCACCTAACTTAGCTGTATCCCTAGTTTTGCTGCTTTGATCTTTTCTTTTCAAGTTTTAAGATATAAAAAGCTACTTTGATCTAAATCAAAGAGGGAGAATGTACTTGTGTTAAAATCAATAAAATTAAAGTTGTAAATACTGAAAATTTTCCTTTTGGTCCCGAAAATTGTCCTTTTTCCAAGTTGTAAAAGAGTAAAATTTTGAACAAAATCAACTCTTATTAAAACTTTTCAAAATAATTTTCAGAAATGATCACCACTTGACACGCACAAAATCAATTCTCAAGATGTACAGTCCTGAATCAAAAGAAATCATAATTGCCCTTGATCGCATATCACTGCTGTTCTGTACTGTACTAGCTATTCTTCTAGAGATAAAGAGCACAACCGAACTAACAGATAGTGAACAAGGATGACCTGATCAAGAAAACGGATAGGACAGTTGAACTGGAGATAGTTATAGCCGAACTTTAGGATGAAGTTGCCTACATATCCCAAAAAGAATGGGAATCAGGCCTTACGTACTTTGGTTCAGGTTCACTCGAGTATTAACTCTCTCCTTTTGCACTCTAACTTTTGCCAAAGTCGCCCTTTAGGGTTTTCAACCTTGCGAGCTCAGTTTTTCTTTATTTCTAATTTTTCATGCTTTTACTTTTGCCTAGCTTCGCCCTTTCAGGTTTTCAGCCTAGCGAGCCTCTCAGGGGTAATATTTCTTCAACTTGTCCATGTTGATTGGTTGCGAGAACTCCAGGCCATCCAAATCCATAAGAATAACTGCCCCTCCTGACCAGATTGACTTGATGATGTAAGGACCAGTCCAGTTAGGTTTAAACATGCCCCTAGGGTCATGGATGGGAGCCCGGTTGTCTTTCAGCACCGTGTCCTTTTCTTGAAGATTTCTGGACTTCACTTTCTTGTTAAAAGCCCTGACAATTCGACGTTGGTAGCCCTGGACATGATACAATGCTCTTAGTCTTCTCTTATCAAACAACATCAACTCCTCGAACCTACTTTGCTGCCAATCTGCCTCTATTATTTGACACTCAGCCATAACTTGTAACGAGGGCACTTCAATTTCAATTGGCAAAATAGCCTCCATCCCGTAGACAAGAGAATAAGCGGTCGCCCCTGTAGATGTTCAGATTGAGGTTCTATAGCCCTAGAGCACAAATGGCAATTTATCTGGCCAGTCCTGTAGGTTTCCACTATCTTTTGCAGAATTCTCTTGATATTTTTGGTTGCAGCTTCGACAGCTCCATTGGTCTGTGGCCTATAGGTCGATGACTTATGGAAAGCCACATTATATTTCTCAAGCAAGTCTATCTCCTCTTTCTTGAAGTGCATCCCATTATCGAAGATAATCTCATTGGGAACTCCATACCAACAAATAATGTTTTTTTGATGAACTTAGCCACATGCGATGCTTTCAGCACGGAGTAGAACTGGGCCTCTACCCATTTTGTGAAGTAGTTGATTGCTACCAGGATGAATTTATGCCCGTTTGACCCTTTTGGTGTAACTACGCCGATAACATCTATTCCCCAAACAGAGAATGGCCATGGTGAAGTCATGTTGTAGAGCTTCGATGGCGGAATGTTCATGCGATTGGCATGAATCTGGCATTTGTGGCAACGCCGAACAAAACCAATACAATCCTGTTCCATGGTTGACCAATAGTAGCCTTGTCTGAGAATTTTTCGGGTGAGCATCACACCATTCAAATGGGCTCCACACTTTTCTCTATGGAAGGCCTCCATAAGGCGCTTTGATTCCTTTTCCTCAACACATAGCTTGTGCATCCCCAGATGATCTCTTTTGTACAACCAGCCTCCGCAGATGATAAATTGGACAACGAGATGCCGTATTTCCCTTTTGTCCTTGGCATTTGTTCCTGGCAGATACGCCGCCTTTTCCAGGAAATTCCAGATATCATAGTACCAGGGGTTCTCGTCTGAAGCCTCGTCAATTACAGCAATGGTTTCATAGGCCGGCATGTACTTCTATTCAATAATAATCGGACGCATCTTGACTCCCAATGGAATGTTTACCATAAAAGATAAAGTTGCTAGTGCATCAGCGAACCGGTTGTTCTCCCTTAGCAGATGGGTAAACGTTAACTTTTCAAATCTCAGAATTAGCATATCCAAGACCTAATGGTAAACCTTCATTTTCTCTTCTTTAACCTGCCAGTCTCCGTTGGCTTGAAGCACAACCAAGTTTGAATCCCCGATGATGTCCAACCTTTTTTTTCCTAGTTCCAGGGCGGCTTCTAAACCAGCAATACACGCCTCATATTTTGCTTCGTTGTTAGATACTTTGAATCAGAGTTTGAAGGCTAAGGGTATATGGGAGTCATCAGGTGCTATCAGCAATACACCGATCCCATAACCATACTGATTAGCTGCTCCGTCAAAGTACATCGTCCATGTTTTCTCCTCTATTTGCAGAATATTTTCATCTAGGAAAAGGTACTCCACCGCTTCATCCCCCTCTATTGGGTGATCTACCAGGAATTTCGCTATAGCTCTCCATTTAACCAACTTGCATATAACATATGTAAGATCAAATTCAGAGAGAAGAAGCAACCAACGGGCTAGCCTACCCATAAGCATTGGTTTCTCAAAGAGATATTTGATGGGATCTAATCTCGAAACTAGGATTATAGAGTGAGCTAACAAGTAATGCCTCAACTTCCGAGTAACCCATACCGAGGCTAGACAAGATTTCTCAAGAGGAGTGTAACGGGTCTCGTAATCCATCATTTTCTTGCTCAAGTAGTAAATGGCTTTCTCCACCTTGGCCTCCGAGTCCTGAGCTAACATACACCCCATGGTTGAGTTTGTCACTGATAGGTACAAAATTAGCCATTTTCCCGATTCTGGCAGTGATAACACAGGTGGATTCTGCAGGTACTGCTTGACCTATTCAAAAGCATACTAACAATGATCGTCCCATTGGAACTTATTTCTTTTCTTCAAGAGACCAAATAGTGGTTCACAAGTCAAGGTTAGTTTTGAAATAAATCACCTTATGAATTGCACTTTACACAAAAAGTTGCGCACCTCCTTTTAAGTCCTTGGTGGTGGCATTTCTAAGATGGCC